TATTCACAGGAGCCCAAGAGGGGAACGGCCCAAGTGCCCATCACCAGATGAAGGGATAAACAAAAGTATCCCCTCCCTGCCGTGGAATGTTACTCTACCATAAAAAAGAAACAGAGTTGGAATCCATGCTATGACATGGATGGGCCTTGAAAATATCACACTCACTGAAATAAGCCAAACACAAAAGGACAAACATTGTTGGATCCCACCGGTCTGAGATAAATATGCAAACACACAGAGAAAGAAAGGTTAATAGGTTACAGGGTGGGGGTGGGGAATTCCTGCTTAATGGGCACATCATTTCCGTTTGGGGGCATGAAAAGTTCTGGAAATAAATAGAGGTCATGGCTGTACGACATGTTGTGGTTATGTGCCGTCGAGTCAAACCCGACTCATAGCGACCCCTGCTTGGGTTTCCGAGGCAGTATCACTATGGAAGTAGATTGCCCCACCTTCCTTCCCAGGAGTGGCTGTACAACATAGTGAATGTAATTGCTGCCCCTCAGCTGTACGCTTCAGAACAGTTCCAATGACCACTTTTTACAAATATTTCATATAAACCAAAAGAAACTCATTGCCGTTGACTCCAACTCAGAGCAACTCACAGCAAGCCCCACTGGGTTTCCAAGGCTGTCAATCTTTACAGAAGCAGACCACCTCATCTTTCTTCTGCAGAGAGGCTGGTGGCTTTGAACCATGGACCTTTTGGTGAGCAGCCAAATGCCTTTTAAAATACAAGAAGCTCTAGTGGCACAGTGGTCAAGACATTTGGCTGCTCACCAAAAGGTCAGCAGTTCAAACCCATCAGTGCTATAGCCTTGGAAACCTTATGGGGCAGTTTTACTCGGTCCTACAGGGTCGTGATAAATCGGAATCAACTAGATGGCAGTGTTGTTTTTTAAATATATTTTATTACAATAGAAAAATGTGAAGACATGGATACTTTTATTGACATCAACAATAACAACCATATAGTAATAAATAAGGAGCTCTGGTAGCATAGTGGC